TGAGTGTCCGATTTTGACCAAATTTTCTTAGATCTGGAAACTTTGACCGCGAAATTGAAGGCCTTCCCGGAGGAATTTTTGCACGAAACTTTGAGGGTAGAATCACCTTGAGGAGATCTATCTGATAATGTAGACGATTTTTTGATCGGAGCACGTTTTCCGGCGGCCGGCGGCGGAGGTGGCGGCCGACGGTGGCAGCGGCCGGTGGAGAAGAAGGAGGTTTTCGAATTTTTTCAGTCGGAACTCCGCTTGACTTTTTGACGGGTCCCCACAGACGGCGCCAATGAAGTGAATAAGTTTTACCCGGGCTCCTTCAACTCGAACCGGCCTCCGTACATGCAGAACCCAACGCCGGGGGTGACCTCGGCGTCGGGCCTCCGATGCCTAAGTCAGTGCTCAGATCAAGAGAGAGAAAGTGTAGTAATGTAATGAGGAGAGGATGAGAATATGAGGTACCTTGACCCCCATTTGTAGAAGGAGTGTACCTTCTGGGCCCAAGTTGGGCTTAGATGTCTTAGTGAGCTTATCTTCCAATATGTATCCGCTTTATCCATTAAACCGGGTCCGGTATAAAATCCTATATAACATATAATATTTAATTATTATTTTATTATATAAGAAAAAAGAATACTGTTAAATAGTGTAGTAGAATTGTTATAAATATATGAATTTTTTTTGTTTACAATATGGATTTATTGTATTTTTATGATTTGATAATATAACTATAATATATTCTTAATGATATGATGGTTTACTTTAGTATAACTAGAATGCTGGTTGCAACTAGAAAAAAAAAAAAATATATTAGATGCAGCCAACATTTTGTTATAAATAAATGTTTTCTCGTTTTGATGATTTTTTTTTATCCATCATGTTCTTCTATGCATCTATTAAATTAGATACATACAACATTCTGCTATAACATAAATGTTCCTTGGAGCGGGATGTATGTCATATGCCATCTAAACATTTTAATTTTTATTTAGTTTGTTACTTTTAATTATTACAAATTTAATCGTGTGAATTGATTTACAACATACTCTACATTCAATTTTACAACATACTCTACATTCAATTAAGACTGATTTTTATTTTTTAATGATTTATAAAGTTTGATTATTAATTGGACCAAACATTTTGCTTATTGATTTATAAAGTTTGATTATTATTTTGGCCAAACTGGAATGATGAACTTGTTGGATCAATGTTGTTAATCTAAACAAACATAAAAGTTTTTCATATTATTTTTAGTCTTTATCAGCTAATAACGTTTTATCATTGTAGGAAACATTTTCATGATTTCTTATTTATTCCACGATTTGTTGATTCATTATAGCTTTGAACAATCTATGAAAATTATTAAGCCCTTCTGACAAATATGTATGGAGTTATGTGTTCGTGTCTAATAAATCACAAACATAATGAATAACATTACAAATTATTCATTAAAACTTTTATTCATTGCAAATATAATAAAATAGTTTATATAACATCCATTCAATACCATTTTCAATATATTTATAAATAAAAAGTATATAAAATTTCTGGTGTGTTCAAATTTAAATAATTTTTGATGAACTCAATTTAAATCATCCAGACATTTGGTCTAACGCATAGGTGTGTTCAAATTTAAATCATTGGCATTTTGTTCGGTTGAAATTTAAATCATCTATCATGGTACTGTGATGTGTATAATATATATATATATATATATATATATATATACATATACAATTTTTTAACAAATAATATGTGCTTTATAAAAATAATAATAATAATTTCTCAAGATTTTAAACGTAAAATTTGGTTTAATCACAATAGAAATGGTAAGTTGTATTGAAAATGTGTTATGGAATAAAACAATTAAATAAAATACTTTAAAGAAATATAATACATTAATTAACTTTGACTTTTCTTACTATTAATTCTAGTAAATAAAATGACTTTTTATATAATTATAGATAATGGTTTATTATTTTCAATCACATCTCGATTAACTATTATTTTTTTTTTTTGGTACAGGGACCTTCCGGTTTCTGGATCCACAGGGGAACCGACTAATCTGGAATCGAGTCGGGTAGGACCACAAGGGCGGCAAAGCTCTCCCTCAAGAGTTTTAACACTGCTGCATTCCCAGGGCTCGAACTCGAGACCACTGGTTAAGCTGGAAGAGACCCAAGTCATCTCATCCAAGCGGTTGGATTAACTATTATTTATTTAAGTAAATCATTTTGTATTATATTGACAAAAGTAATCATTTGTTAGACTCGACAAGACAACTACTGGATGCCAGTTGGTGATTCCATTGTGTCCTTCCAACAACTAATATTTGTTTGTTCATTCATTCATCCCTCTCTATATTATAAACGGGAGTTTGAGGGGGTCTACGTCTTACACGTGGCGCCTCTACTTCTCTTCGTTTTTCGGCCTTAATTCTCTATATTTACCTTACGGCCCAAAAACTTTGGATAATAGGTATATTCTTGTGGGCTGTGTTTTTCCAGTAAAAGCCCAAGACTTTTTATTTCCCTATTGCTTTTTTGTTTCTCTAAAAAAAATTATAATGAGCTTCAATTTTTTCCCGATTAAAAGACGCATTGTCGTCACAGCTCTGTACTTGTTCCAATCACATCGCCATGGCAACAACCACACGATTTCTCGGCCAATGAACGGCTAGCCCCAACGGCAAATTTCGTCCCAACCCGGTGTCGTTGACCACCAGAATCTTCTGCGGAGCGTCTTCGGATGGGTGTTCCCGCATTGAAACCACTCCGAGGCCGGATTCGGAGGAGATGAGGAACCGGCGGTTGAGATCGTCCCACTTGGCGCACTCGCGAGGCTTCCCGCCGCTGTGGTAGGCGAACTTGCACATTGCATGGCTGCGAAAACGGCGCTGCTGCCGTGGGTGCCCCATTCGCGCTCCTCGCAGACCACGACGCCGTCGGAGGCAGGCCGAATGGAGGCCGACCCAGGAAGGAGTTGTCCCATATCTGAAAATGGCTATCGCATTTCAGGATCCATCAGGTCTATTTCAATTCAATTTCGAGTTCAATTGTGATTTCGTGTTGTATATGAATTTCACTTTCGCAGCTGTGAGGGGATTCAAAATCTAATCTGAAAAGATAGTGGGGGTAGGGGTTTGATTTTTGAAAATTAGATATCTTTAAGAGATTTAAGTGAAATTTCGCAAACTTATAGATTATTGATTTCAGATTATGCAACAGGCTTGACACATTGGAGCCAAACAAAATAAATATATCTCTCAACGTTTTTAATTTTATTGGCTTGCATATGTTTGGGTTGGATGTGCTTGAATAATATCGTTTTGGTTTTGGTTAAATAATGTCGTTGGATATGGATTGGATGTGTCCGAATGTTTTTACCTAATTTAAACATTACCGTGGGCCGGCTGTGCTATCCGGTAGATTCCTAGTTTATATAATAAGTGGCACCAAACCTAACTGGCGAAATTTGGATTTTTTTTTGGTATTTATCATCACTTTATCTCCCAAGTCTAAACTCCAATTTTCCTTCTTGTAAATAATTTATTTATATAACAATCTGTCCGGCCGCCGAGATTATCCATGGTCGGCGGTGCCTGCATAAACGACAGACTGGGTGACGACGAGCTTCGGGCCGTTCTATTCAAGCTGGAGCTCGACAAGGACAAGGAGGTGTTTGGCCTCGTCTGCAAGCGGTGGCTTCACATCCAGAGCACGGAGAGAAGGATGCTCCGCGCTAGGGCCGGGCCCCACATGCTCAAGCGCTTGGCCGCTCGATTTACGCGCCTCCACGAGCTCGACCTATCTCAGTCTGCCTCACGATCATTCTTTCCTGGCGTCACCGACTCAGATCTGACCGTAATTGCTGCCGCCTTCTCCTCCTTGAGAGTTCTGAATTTGCATAACTGCAAAGGTTAGAAGAACCTTTTTTTTTTTTTTATGTGTGTGTTAAAGTTCTGACAAACAATTTTATTCATCTTGCTGTTCGTTTCTGATTCCTCGTTGGCGATATGAGCTTAATCTGTCGTGGCTTTTATTTTATGATAATCTTATTAATAATTACCGATGGTAAATTTAGCAAAAGAATCGATTTTTTAGTAAAATTCTGTTCTTTGTTTCTTTGATTAAGGAAACCCGAAGGTTATTTTCTTTTTATGAATTGCTTGCTTTACTTCTACCTCCGAAATTATTTATATTGTTAATTGAATATTTTGCAGGGGCTAGAGATTTTTCTCTAGAAATGGTTTGTTTTTTAAATCGTATTATGATTGTTTTATTCTCATAGTAGAAAAAAAAATAAAAAATTAGCCCTGTAATGGACGTTTTTTTTCCCTTCAGAAGTGACTGAAGGTTAATCCATGCTTCATCTTTATTCTTGTTCTAGATATAGTGTGAATAGTTGTTTGCCTCTAGTGGATGAAGCTAATGAATAGGCTACTCGAATTTCATCTTGCTGCCAGCAATCCTGAGGACAAGATGAAAATATAAGCAAAGGCCATCAATTGATGAAAATATATAACTTTTTTATTCAAATGCTAGATCGTTGCACTTTCTTTTTCAGTGTGTTAGAGCCTTAGAGTTATAAGAAACATATGTCAAGAATTATATTTGTAATTCCAAAGATGAATGTTTTCTTTTTTGTTAAAAAAAAAAAAAAATGAGGCTAGGAAACAATCATTCTGGGTCTGCTGTAATACACCCCCTCTCCCCTATCCCTCATAGAACCCTGTGATTACTCTCTTAGCCTGTCTTCTTTTGTACACAACCAGTTGGAGGATGTATTGTTGGTATACCCTATTCACATGACACTTGTTATATGGTTTGGAAAGTAGTTGAGTTGATTTTATTTCTTATGAAAAAACGTGATGGTAGTGGATTATGTTATTGGTTTATGAATTGCTAATAGAAAAGACTTAATCTATTTAGAAAATTTGGAAAATCTGAAACATCTCTTATCAGTCAAATCCATTGCAATTTGTCTTTTGTAAGCTTTGGTAGAATTCTCAGTTGTGTTGCTCCTAATCCCATCTATTTGTTGAGCTTATTATCTTCCATAAGATTGTTAAGTCGGGTTGAAATTCCTCGTACTGGCACCCTTAATCTTGTTTTAGCTAGGGTGGTTATTTGGGACCTTCGTTTAGAAATCAGATTCATCTATGGACTCAGTTGACTTTTTGGCAAAATAGTTCTGTGTATCCTTTAGATTGTTTAGTTTTTTTTCCTTAATTTCTAGCTTTTTCTCCTCTTCAATGTATGTGCAGAATCAGGCTTTATATCAACAGTTGTCCATCACGGATAAATATTGGTTGCTACACTAACATAATTGTTTAGATATAAATCTCTGTTCAAATTGATTGAAAGGTTGCCTCTGTAGATTCTTAATCTTTGCATAAAAAGGCGCTCTGGTTGGATGCAAATCCAGATAAAATGAGTTGATCTATCAAGTTGATGATGGAAATGTAGTTAGGCAGCTTTGCGCAACTTTTGAACTGAAAAGATTGAACAAAATGTGCATATGCACCGCATTTCAGATTCAAATTAGATATCATCTACAATTATGTATGGATTTTAAATATCTTTATCGCCTCCATGAGTTGAACTGTAAATCGTTAGAATTTGGTCACGAAATAATGAGATAGTAGCCTAACTTGTGTAGCGAAGAATATCAATAAGGATGCTGATGTGTGATTGCATTCTCTTGTGATTAGTCACTTCGGGGAGCGACTGAATTGATTAAGACTTATTTTTGTCGATCTCTAATGTTTGTAAAGAGTAATATTTCGCAAATGTGCAAAAGGAAGGGTCTAAAATGCCAGAATTTGAGGCTTAATTATTTTCCACTCATGTTCCTACATTAACTGAATTCAAGACTTAAACCATAATTCTAATTTATTTGTTTCTTGCGCATCAATGAGATATGAGTTGAGGTTTAGAAGAGAAGGAGAATCTCAGTCTCTTGAACTCTTTTGTTTTTTTACCTGCTATTCTTGAGTTTTAAGCATTCTAACTTTATTGGTCTCATGAATGCCGAGTAATCATGAGGATTGGTTTTCTAAGCTGATTTGCTCAGTTTTCCTTTTTTTCCCTTTCAGAATAAATTGAGCAGATAACCGATTACTTGTTTTCACTGCAGGTATAACAGATAAAGGGATGGATGCAATTGGATGTGGGCTTCCTTTGTTAGAGTCTCTGGATATATCCGACTGCAGAAAAGTGGGTGATAAGGGTTTATCATCCCTAGCAAACGGGTCTCGTAATCTGAAATCAATTCGTGCTGCGGGTTGCAGACTCGTTACAGATGCTCTGCTCAAAGCACTGTCCATGAGTTGCAGTCATCTTCAAGAACTGGATTTGGCAAAGTGCTCCAATTTGAGCGACTCAGGTCTCGCCGTTCTTGCAGAGGGCTGCAAGAGATTGAGACACTTGAACCTCAACAAGTGCACTAACATTGGAGATTTCGGGATATGCAGATTGGCAGAGGCCTGTAACTCGTGGCTATCGACTCTCAAGCTGCTTGATTGCTTCAGGATTGGAGATGAGTCGATGCTCACTATAGCAAAATACTGCAACAATCTTGAGACGTTAGTGGTGGGTGGTTGTCGGGACGTGAGCAATGAGGCCGTAAAGACTTTGGCTTTTGCGGCATGCCAAACGAGTCTCAAGAATCTACGAATGGACTGGTGCCCGAACGTATCGGACGAGTCATTGGAATGTGTGCTGGCTCTCTGTACCAAACTTGAGGTCCTTGATGTTGGGTGCTGTGAGCAAGTGACGGATGGTGCCTTTCGGAGTTTACGAAGTAATGGCCGCGAATCGACTAGTAGTTTGAAAATTCTAAGGGTGAGCAACTGTCCAAAGATTACGGTGCATGGGATCGCCACGATTTTTGAGTCGTGCGCGGGTTTGGAGTATGTCGACGTGAGGTCGTGTCCCCTTGTGACTGAGGCCAGGTGTCGTGAGGCTGGGCTCGACTTCTCGGAAAATTGCAAGGTGAATTTCACTGGGAGCTTAGCGGCAGATCCAGATGTGTTACGCTGAATGAATTAATT